AGTAAGAAAATAATCACAAAATGGGCAAAAGATATGAACAGACGAGTCACAAAAAAGATAGACATACCAAAAAAGATACATGTTCAACATCATTAGCCATTAGGGAAATGCAAATTAAAGCCATGATGAGATACTACTGCACACCTATTATCATGGCTAACATAAAAAATACTGCCAACCCCAAATGCTGGCGAGAATGTGATGAAGCTTCATCTCTCATAGAGTGATGATAGGACTGTAAAATGGTACAGCTACAGTGGAGACGTTTGGCAGTTTCTTAAGTTAAACATTCACTTACCCCACAACCCAACATTCGCACTCCTAGGCATTTATCCTATAAGAATAAAAACATATTCACACTAAAACCTGTACATGAACACAGGCTTCTGGTTATGGAATGAATGAGTCACAGGAAGAGCACAATGTAAGGAATATAGTTAATAATGTAACAGCAATATATCCTGACAGATGGCAGCTATACTTGCGCAGGTAGCAGAATGCATACATGTGTCCAGTCACTTTTGTATGCCTGAAACTAATGTAACATTGTGTCAACTATATTCAAATAAATCAAGAAAAAGAAAGAAACCTGAACATGAATGTTCCTAGCAGCTTTATGTGTAATAGCCAAAAACTAGAAAAAATCCACTGCTCCTTCAGTGGGTTAATGGTTAAATAAAATGTGGGTGAGCCATACACTGGACAAGCACAGTACTACTGGCAAAACCAGGAAATTGTCATTGATGCAGTATTAGTAATTAAACTACTTATTCGAATTTCAGTTTTTACATCCTTTTTATGGGTGTTATGTATAGTCCTAGGACAGTTCATCATGTAAAGATTTGTGTAACCATCAAAACAATCAGGATACAGAACTGTTACTACACAGCAACTCCTTTGTGCTACCTCTTCAGAGTTAACCCACCACCACTCCCAGCCCCAACCCCACAGAAACTGATCTGTTCTCCATTTCTACAATTTTATCACTTCAAGGATACTATATAAACAAATGATACAGTCACACACCCTTTTGAGACTGGCTTTTTTCACTCAGTACAATGCCCGTTAAGCTCCACCCAAACTGTCACACATCGACAATATTGTTCCTTTTTTTTTTATTATAAATGGGTGTTCCATTATATGGCTAGACCACATTTTATTTAACCATTTACCCACTGAAGGACAGGCAGAGTTGTTTTGGGGTTTTGGCTATTATAAAAAAACCTCTATGAACATTCATCTACAGGTCTTCGTGAGTAATTTTCATTTCTCTAGGATAAATACCCAAGAGTACAATTGTTAAGTATATGTTTAGCTTCTTAAGAAACTGCCAAACTCATTTCCAGAGTGTGGCTGTACTGTTTTACATTCCTACCAGCAGCATGAGAGATAATGTAAATTTGAAAGTCACAATTTCTAAAATATTTTCTAAAGGCCTAAAAAACCGGTAAGATTAAACCTCTAAAATGTCATAACCTGAGCTTAGCTTGCTAAAAAAAAAAATGAAATTTTTAAAACTTTTATCTTACTACCTCTAACAAAAAATGTATACTTAGAGATAACCCCTTTGTTGCTAGCTCTGTTACCATATTACACAGTAAACTGCAATAAGAAGTGAAAAAAAGGCAGTATTGCCAACAGAAACAGTACAAGTTTGTTTCTATGTCTTCCAGCCATAGCCTATGAAGACTGAAGGTTTAACAGCACTTTCCAACTCTTAGTATTGTGAAATGTGTTCACAATGCATTTATACATGGTATCATCAAACAATGGCACTTGTTCAGCTGTTACTTGGTAAAACAATTGGAGAAAAGCAATTAATCTGAAATAAAGCTGTAGTTAGCTGTAAAATTTCTAACTTCATGATTTTTTTTAATTTTAAATATAAATGACAAAGATGGATAATGGAATCTCTTTTGGGTTCTTAAAACAAGGAGCTAGCTGTAGAGCAGACATCCACGTGCAAACAGCAGCAAGACAACCAGTCTACAAAGAGATGAAATAAATGCACAGAAAGAACTCTAACTTCCCCCAAAAGAGTGGGAGGCAGGGGGTGCTGCTGTCCTTGTTCCTAACGACTTTGCAGTTCTTAGGTCCCTTGTGGGACCAACTAGATAGTGAGGTCCTAAGACAAATGTTTCTTTCCATTAAATATGCTATCTGTTTAAAAGGTAGAGGACAGAATGCTCTTAAATCTCCCAACTAATAACCTTGCAATTTAATTATATGACTCCACCTACTACATCATCCCACTTAAGGTATATGGCTTTATTGGTAAATATCTTAGTATGTGCGTATCTTTAATACTCCCCCTAAATATTAGCCAGTGTTAACAGTGTCTATCTTAATTTTCAAATCCTAGAGTACCGGTTCCCATCCAATGGGCCAGAAACCCATGGAGAGACAGGAATTACTGCAAAGAATCATCAAAGTCCATGTAGCCACATAAAGACTAAAGAAACAATATAATTCACACTGTGTTTTTCCAAGTTGACAAAGACGCTGTGACTAACAAATTTCTTAATAAATTTACTGGAGAATGCTACTACTAAGTAGTTTCTTGTCATTAGTATTTATTGATGAATAGTAAAAATCTAACTCTTACTGGGAGGGAAGGGCACACCTCATCCCTCTCTAGGCTCTCTAGAGATTGTTCCTTTTCAAAAGGGTTGCCCATGTCATCCAGAAGAGTAGTAGACTGTGCTTGGTTTCAGTGCAGAGATGACAGACTACACTGGGAGAGCTGGGGCAGGAGGAATTGGGAAAGTGCATGAAATTACTTCAAAATAGCAACCTCAATGCTAGGTAAACAGCATTCAGGAACCAAGTTGGGGAAAAATTAAAGGGCGCAGCCCTCTTCTCATATTTACAATGCCAAGGAGGAACACATTCACAGGAGTTTCAGTCAAGGGGCCAAACGTATTCTAGAATACAAACATATCCTAGCTAAGTGCTTTGTCAGGTTGTCACCGTTCTAAACTAATATTATATCCTTATTAAAATTCCGTATTTTCTACATTTATCAATAACAGTGTAGTTTTTCAAATGTGTCCTATACATATATTGACTTGTTGTGGGCTGGATGCTAGACAACTGAAATCAAAAATAATGACCTCTATTAATTTAAAACAAAGAAAACGTGTTTAAACACAACACTCCAATGGCAAGAAGAGACTATATCCAGCTAGCCCAGTTCCTGACATACAGTAGGCAGGCACGTGATATCTGGTGAATAAATGAGTCTATTTCTGCTCACTCTGAAAAATAACCTTGGCAAGCGTGGAAAATATCCTACCAGTCCAAAAAATACTCTCCAGTCCTATTCGGGTACCAATCCATTCTCATAACCCACCAAAACCAATTTGCATGAAAGCCTCACCCACATACACAGAGGCAGCACTTAATTCCCATCAGGTTCACTGCCTGATATATGGTGTTATCAGCATTTGCACATTTGCATAGATTTAGGACTCATCCTTCATTTGATATAAGGTAAATTTTAAAGCTTCCAGTAAGTTTTATTTTTCACATCAAAAATCCTTTCAAAATTTTATTTTTCAATTCAAAATTCTATTCATGGTATACCGTATCTTATTAGGGATGACTTTAAGGCAAAAATACACAGTTATCAAAATAAACTCTTATTTTTTCTTTTCTAGACATCTAAGACATTCACTTACATATTTATTATTTCACATTAGTTCTCAAATACAAAAAAAAAAGTGGCCTATTTAAGAAATTTTAGGGTCTGTCAACATTTGGAATGTACTGCTGGTTTTAAATATACACTTGCATCCTGGAATAAAACTTAGCCTAAGCTTTCCACAGAACCATTTCCTGGGCACTTAGTAACTTATTCTATGCCAGGTTCTATGCTTGACACATTACTCCATTATCCCATTTGTTTAACAAATAATCTCTCATAATTTTTGCAGTACTAAACAAGAAGCCACTACACTATAAACCTGATATCTGTACCAGATACTAGCACTAAATTTACAGTGATACTTCACACAAGTTTTTTGTTATTAAATTCAAGTTGTCTTACTGTATTAAAACAGAATCGGATCAGCAATGTTGAGATGCACAGAGAATAACCATCTGTGATCGCTTCAGCAGAGAAAGCTATTATTAGGTGACTACTTAAGTTACATTCCTTCTATGGGTAGATGAACATAACCTTATCTATCCAGAAATTTAATTCCAATTACTACATGCCATTTTGAACAGCATAATCTAAATAAAATGATTATATAAAGAACCCTAGCTTCCCTCTGAAATTGCTTTAAAACTGTAGATTAAATTCTCCCCAAAGAGATGCTCAGCATATGATAAAAAGGTGTTTCGATTCTGAACTCTGAAAAATAGTGACATTTTTTCCCTCTTGTGAATTCAGGCTCAAAAGATAGGCAATTTAGGAAGGAAGGAAGGAAGGAAGGAAGGAAGGAAGGAAGGAAGGAAGGAAGGAAGGGAGGGAGGGAGGGAGGGAGGGAGGAAGGGAGGAAGGGAGGAAGGAAGGAAGGAAGGAAGGGTGGATGGGACGGAGGGAGGGAGGATGGATTAATGAGGCTCTTCAAGAGCTCCCTAAAACCGCCACCCCAACAGCCAAACTGGTATTTCCAAGTTGTTCCAAGAAAAAAAGATGGGGGAGGAAAGGGAAGAGACGATACAAAGAAAAACAAAAATGAGTGACTTGACAAAAAAGTTAGAAAAATGGATGGTCTCAACAGGAACCTAGTGTCTGCCTCTCTCTGCTTCTCCGCCCAACGCTTCTGGTGCTGTCCGTCGATTTTAACTACATCACCTAAGAGTTTTGAGACCAGAACCAAAAACTATTTCGGCGGTAGGAAAAACTATGTGTTGCCCTCAGATACAACTGCATCAGTAAAGGGTGCCACCGTGTCAGCCAGGGAGAGAGAAGGCATAACAAATCCCTTAGAATATAAGCGACTCACGGAGCTCTACCGCCTTGCACCATGCCCGCCAGGGCAAGCTCTTACCTGGCCTTACGCGGACAGACAGGTTGGTAAGGGGACAGACAGTCCCCCACCCTAAGGTTCCCGGGCCCGGAACGCTATGCTCAGGGGGGCAGGCTCCCTCTCCCCTCTCAGTTCTCAAGTCAAACGTCACCTCTTCTGGGATGCCCTTCCTCACCCCCATCACTCTGGCCTACAATCGCCTGTCCTGGTTTCAAGGGAGCTTTTCAGGGTCTGCAAACTGTAGCATTCGCTTCTATTCGGTGTTTCCCCTCCCGAATGTGAACTTCATGATGCCAGAGGGACCTCATCGGTCCTTGCTGGTACCCGGCCCCCGGCCCTGAGACCGGGCCCCGAGTGCCCAGGACGCGAGGCAGGTCTGAGCGCGCGAGAACGAGCAACTACGCTGGGGGGGGAGGGAGGGGCCGGCCTGGCAGGTGCAGGAAGCCGGGGCCGCTGCTGGGCCTGAAGGGAACCGGCAGGAAGGGACGCCCGCGCGGCGCCGCCCGAGGTCACGGCCGCCCGGACGCCCGGCGCCGGCCCAGCCCCCGGCCACCCTTCCGCGGTCCCCGCTCGGCGCCCGCGCTCTCGGACCGCGCCGTCCGCGGCCTCCCTACCCGGAGCCGGAGACGCGTCGCCTTCCGCACTGTACGAACTTCCCGCCGCTTTCGCCGACTTGCAACTCCACGGCGGCGCCGGCCCCGTCACACACTGCAGTATAGAGCCTTCCCATTGGCTGAGGGCGAGAGGGAGAGGCGGGGCAGCAGAGGAGCGGGGCGGAGCCCGCGCCAGCCCGCGCCGCCTCCCCACGCATGCCGGGAGTTGTGGGCCGGCGCTCCCGCTGCATGCTGGGAAATGGAGTCTTTCCCAGCCTCAAAATGATCCGGGTCCCTCCGCCCGCCTGGGCTTCCGGGAAGTGTGGTTTACTGCCTCCGAGTCAGTCCTGATGAGATACTGTACCCTCCAATGCTGTTGGAACCGAAATAAGTATTGCCAGTGTTCGAGTGTTCGCAGTAGCTTGATTTATTAAGTAAGTGTGTTGGCAAAGGGTTGGATGTAGTAGAAGCCCTATAGTGCCGTGAGCTAAGGGTCTCCTCCGCCTACTTGCGCTCGCGTTTTCCCACCTTCTGCTCCACCACCCTGGAAGGCTCACCCCCAGCAGCTTGGTTCAGTGCACTACGGCCTGGGTCTGGAATCGAACAGACCGCAATGAAACCCTAGCTCTTTCACTACGTTTGTAGCTTTGTGACCTAAGGCAAGTTACTTAACTCCTGTGAGTCTTGCTTTCCTGTTTCTCTCAGGATTAAATGAGATGATCTATAGACAGTGCTTTGCACATAGTAGGTGCTCAATAAATAGTAGATAGTATTAATATTCTACCCAACGATTGTCATACATCTAAATCCTGTCTTTCAAAGCCACTTCAATGTCTACCTAACCTTCCGTAGCATCTCATCTATTATCTTATGCCATGGTTTCCTTTGTATTTATAATAAATTGTCTAAACCTCCATCAGCCATGTGGCTGTAAGCTTACTGCGGACTGGAACAATGTTCTAGCTCAAAATCACCAAATCCATAGGCAGAAGGATATTAGTGAGAAGGGTCATCGATGAGGATAGGTGTTGTTGGCAAGGTCACCTCCAATTGGCTGGTCCCTCAGCTGAAGGTCACTGCTCCCTGGCCCTCCCCTCCAGCTTACAGCTCCCTCCCTTTGTGCCTCAGATCTGCAGACAAACACCATAACGACTCTGAGCCACAAGCTACTGTTCCACCCCTGTGGTTCCCACACCCACACTTTTGTTAATAGTCTCCTTGCAAATAAACCCTCCTCAGATCATCTTGTCTCAAATGTGTCATCTGCTTTCTGTTGAGACCCCAAAGGAAACACATGCACAAGGTGAGCACTCAATGAGTATTTGTCAGCAAAGAGGTCTCAAGATTCACACATCTCATGGGTGTGGAATTCCCCAGCAAAACAATGTGTCCAGAATCCATTGAGAAAAAGACACTCTACACATACACACACACACACACATGTGCGTGCATGAACTCATGTGCTAAGAAGACTTGGAACAGGACTTATCTTTCACATTGTGACCATGTTCCCCTAACCTCAACATACACATACAGAAGAAATGTCCCTGCTTCCGCGCCGGGTTCACAATTGGCTGGCCTTAAAGCACAATTAAGCCAGCAGAAGTGCATGGAGTATTCCAAGGTGAGAATGGAACATATTTATTCTGGAGCTCGTGGTTATGTCACCCTCAGTTGGATGGCTTACTGTTAAATGCTACTTAAGTGCAGTTAAGTTCCCAGGCAGTGGCTAACACCTCCAACACCACCCACATATGCTGAGAATGTCCTACCAGTGCAGAGCATGGCAGGAGATCAGTCCAAGCTGCTGTCATGGAGACAGTGTGTCTGGAATGCTGTAGATGGGGATACACCCCTGGGACATAGTTATCCCAGGGAGACACCCCTGGGATACAGCCCTGTAGATGGGGGTACAACCCTGGGACATCAATGAATTTTGATGAGTTGATAGCTTGGTATCAAGATCAGGTTTGTGCAGAAAGTTGACCAGTGAGAACTTGCTATGGCAGGGTTTTAGAACTTAAGAATTGGGGCGCCTGGGTGGCTCAGATGGTTGAGCGTCTGCCTTCGGCTCAGGTCATGATCCCAGGGTCCTGGGATCGAGTCCCGCATCGGGCTCCCTGCTCAGTGCAGAGCCCGCTTCTCCCTCTCCCTCTGCCATTTCCTCTGCTTGTGCTCTCTGGCTCTATCTCTCTGTCAAATAAATAAATAAAATCTTTAAAAAAAAGAAGAAAAAAAAAAAGAACTTAAGAATTGAACTAGAGAGGAAAGGTCCATGAATATAACCCTGTTATCTATGCAAAAACATCTACAGTCCAAACAAATGTTTACTGAGCACTTACTCTAAGCCAGGGTATGAGCTAACCTCTGGGGACTCTGGGGATTCTGATTTAACTAATGTTTAAGAAGCCTCTACCACGGGTTAGACACTGTGCTTTTTCACATACATTATTTCAGTTCTTAAAGGGGGAGAAATATCTCAAAGACTTTAAATTATTCTAGGACCCCTGAATCTACAAAGTACTGTTTTCACTGCCTCTTTAGGCACAGCCCCAGTACATTAGGAAACTTCTAATAAAGAGATATTTTCAATGCAGGAATAGAGATTTGTGCACAAGGCTGTCATACTCAGCTAATGGGATTCCTGGCTAACAGATCATCATAGATAAAGCAGGGTGACCCATAAGTGGATTCAGCTCAATGAATGAAAATATTCCAGCTTCCTAGCAAAGGCAGACCAGCCAAAAATCTATGCATGGGGATCTATATTGACTTGCCAGATACCCAGACCCCAGATTGCCCTTTTTTATTTCCAGGAGCCCGGCCAGCTCTTGTAACCCTAGTACAAAGGCACAGAAAGGTAACAATAGAACAGGGCACTTTGACAGAGAGAGAGAATGTTGGTATTGGCTAGCCCATGGTGGAAAAGGTCCGCGAAGTTCAAACAAATATGATAGTCACCAAGAGGCAACATTGCCCTGGCAGGCTGCCCAGCAGTCCCTGGTTCTGCTCATGAATCAGTCCATGAGTCCTGGTCCTTGTCGTTTTCATCCATAGAATAGGAATAATCATCCTGGGCCAACCAGTTCTCTGCCTTCCCCAAGGCTTTGAAAGGGCTTTGATCTACCTGGAACAAAGCTGCTAGGGTGTCATTAGTCAGTGTAGGCAACCTAACAACAACCCCAGGAAACATTACACCCTGGGAGGAAGGAAAAGGGAAAGGAAGGAAGAGTAGAATGTGTATGAGGCTCTTCTGAGTCCCCTGCCCCTGGTTTCAATGACTCTTTTCATCCCAGATGCCCAGAGCCATTCTTGCCATTTTAGCAAGGACTTTTGAGCATCTACCATATGCCAGACACAGTGTCCTTAAGAAATTTATAATCCAGTGGGAAAGCCAGCCATGTCTACAAATTCTAGGAGCTGTGAATTTTTATGAGCATGTATTATGTGCTGGGAAAACTACTCCTGGTAACCCTGAGAGGTGAATAATATGATCCCCAGTGTCCAGGTGGGGAGACAAAGCCCCAGAGAAATGAACGGATTTGTGCAAGGTCAGGGTTGGTGACCAATAGAGCTGCCTGACTCTATAGTCATCCTGATATCAGTTACAGCTGCTGATGTTGGAAAAGGTAATGATGTAAGGACTAACTGGTGGCACACAGACTCTGTGCAGTGCGAATGCAGAAAAAAGAGCAAGTTGTTCTGCCAAGCTTCATAGACAAGGTGACAGACATTGACCTAGTTACTCTACTGAACTAATCTGGCGACTTCCACGATAGTAGAAACAGGTCCTTTTAGATTTAATGACACAATAATTGATGATTACAGATTATTCTGAGGTCAGAATGGATGAAGGGGGTTTTAAAGGCCTAGGAAAGTGTTTCCTCCTCCTCTTTTTCTTTATCCTGATGATGATGATGATGATGATGATGATGATGGAAGTGACGGTGATGATGACAGCTTCCATTCATTGTTTTAAGCATTTTCCAGGAATTGTGCTAATACTTTCCCAGCCAAATTTCAAGAAATCTTCACAATAGCCCTTGGAGGTTGCTATTACTACCCCTTCCTCCACTGCAGAGATAAGGAAACTAAAGCTCAGAGAAGGTAAGTAACTGGCTCACGGTCACACAGCTAGGAAGTGATGCCGCTGGACTTTAAGCCAAGGTTTCAACCAACGCAGAAGACTGAATGTTTAGCCACTCCCCCTGCGGTGCACCAACCATTCATCATTTCGTGTGTTTCTATCTCCTGAGCCGGCTTTCAGGACGCCATAGTTATTTGTCTTCCCCAAGTTTTGAGAAATTAATGGTACAGGGAAATTTAATGTGTGCACCTCCAAGAACAACTGTGCTGTTTCTCAGTGTGCTGGCTCACCAGCTCTCAGCGGAGGACACCGGTAGTTGCGTTGCTCTCTCCCTACTCAGTAGGAGTGACAGGATCTACTGACACTCAGCACACATTTCTACCATCTTCTACTGCCCATTCCTACTGCAGAGGCTGCAAAGGTAAAACCTGCATTTCCCAGACCCCCTAAGTGCTTAGGGCTCTAAATGTATATTAGGCTCCACCAGGTGAGACTCCTCAGGAAGATTTGGAGGGCGGAAGTGAGGCATCAACACAGACTTGGAGCCTTGGGAGTTTTTTGCCATGTTCCAATCCCATATGTCTTATTCCGTAAGTATCAGAAGGCAGTGGCTCTGGTGGCAGGAGCCGCTTCTTGATCCCTGGGTGACAAGTACAGTTGTG